AAAATTGTATTTTACCTTTATAATTTAGAACCCAAAATCCAAACAGAAATACTGTTTGTCTCAAATACCAAGCTTGTCCGTACAATCAGGCTAACCCGTGGCTCAAAACATCATATCAATCTTGGGCCAGGCCAATTTTACAATGTTAGTCCAAATACTTTCTGTTGGGAAGGGCATGGCCAATCACCGAACTGGATTCAATAATGTAAACTACAAACACACAAGCTGATGAAACCGATAGCAAAAGTGAGTGGTAAAATAGCAGTCACAAAGTTTCCCATGGTAAATTACTCAAATGTTCCTCAAATTTATACCCAATTTACATTTTGGTCCCTAAACTAAATTATTCATTCCAATGGTCCACCAACTCCTTATTAATCGGCGCTTCATAACGGTATGACCAAAGCGCCGATTAATAAAAAGTTGGTGGACCATTTTAATGAATAATTTAGTTTAGGGACCAAAATGTAAATACGGTACAAATTTGAGGACCATTTGAGTAATTAATCCAAGTTTCCCACATAAAAATTTAGGTTCATAAGTATTCAAGGTACAATTAATCCAACTAAAGCAGGTTCTTGTCAGGCCATCTCCAACCCAAGAGGCTAAACCCAAAATATCCCAAATTATTGCCCAAAATCTCTCCCAACCCAAGAAAATAAAGAGGCCAAAATTTGGGAAAACCCAAACTTGGACCCAAATACCAATCCAAGTATTGCCTGGACCCAAAATTATTCAGTGGAGCCCACCAACAGATGGCACAGCCCATGTGCATTAGAAAAGACACTGGGACCCGCCCTGCGGCTCGCTCTTGCGACTTTGTCTGCTGACCTAACAAAGACCTTGCAACGTGTCGGCTCCTACTGAAGTTACTGTTGCAATTCAAATTTCTTTTTCTTTTTTTTTTAATTCTAATAGTAACTTTAAAAAAGAGATTGGGGCCAACGTTGGTGGCTTTATTTGTTGCACTGCCACATGTTGGCTCTAGTTGAAGTTGCCGTTGCAATTCAAATTTTGCTTTTTAAAAAAAAAACTTATAATAGTAACTTTAAATCAACGATTTGAATTAAATCTAAGCTATTTTAACGGTAAAAAAATAAAAACAAATCCAATAGCTAAAATTTAAATCTAATGGTCAAAATAATATTTTAAATTAATCCAAATCAGATCCAACCCCAAAACTCACTCCAAACTCTATAAATACTCACCCATTTCTCAATTAATCTACCAAAAACAATTTTTCTATTTCTCAATTTCTTTTTCCTTTGTCAATTTCATCAATCTCCTTTCATTCTCATACTTTTGATATCATTTCAACCACATCTTCTTCTTCATTCTCATACTTTTCATATCATTTGAAGCTTTCAATGGATAACCATGGCAAGGCCATCTTTTCCTTTATGTTTGATGATGATTCAGATGATGAGGAACATCATCAAAGAGTGATACAAGTCATTATCCACCATACTTCACTAGAGAATGAAGCCACCAAACATGGTGGGTCAATAGTCGATTGTGAGTACAAGAACCATGAGAGGGAAGATCGCCATCGCAATCTCATGTTCGACTACTTCGTTGAAAGGCCACATTTTAATACTATGGACTTTCGCAGGTGGTTCCGAATGCGGAAAAAGTTGTTTTACCGCATCTTGAATAATGTTGTCAACCACGAGCCATACTTTCGCCCAAAAAAGACGAGCTCGGCCGACAAGGGCTATCCCCTGAGCAAAAGTTAATCGATGTCTTTCATATGCACGTATGGGGATGCTCGGCTGACGCGACCGACGAGTTCCAAAATCTCTCCCAACCCAAGAAAATAAAGAGGCCAAAATTTGGGAAAACCCAAACTTGGACCCAAATACCAGTCCAAGTATTGCCTGGACCCAAAATTATTCAGTGGAGCCCACCAACAAATGGCACAGCCCATATGCATTAGAAAAGACACTGGGACCAGCCCTGCGGCTCGCTCTGGCGACTTTGTCTGCTGACCTAACAAAGACCTTGCAACGTGTCGGCTCCTGCTGAAGTTGCTGTTGCAATTCAAATTTCTTTTTCTTTTTTTTTAATTCTAATAGTAACTTTAAAAAAGAGATTGGGGCCAACGTTGGTGGCTTTATTTGTTGCACTGCCACGTGTCGGCTCTAGTTGAAGTTGCCGTTGCAATTCAAATTTTGCTTTTTAAAAAAAAACTTATAATAGTAACTTTAAATCAACGATCTGAATTAAATCTAAGCTATTTTAACGGTAAAAAAATAAAAACAAATCCAACAGCTGAAATTTAAATCTAATGGTCAAAATAATATTTTAAATTAATCCAAATCAGATCCAACCCCAAAACTCACTCCAAACTCTATAAATACTCACCCATTTCTCAATTAATCTACCAAAAACAATTTTTCTATTTCTCAATTTCTTTTTCCTTTGTCAATTTCATCAATCTCCTTTCATTCTCATACTTTTGATATCATTTCAACCACATCTTCTTCTTCATTCTCATACTTTTCATATCATTTGAAGCTTTCAATGGATAACCATGGCAAGGCCATCTTTTCCTTTATGTTTGATGATGATTCAGATGATGAGGAACATCATCAAAGAGTGATACAAGTCATTATCCACCATACTTCACTAGAGAATGAAGCCACCAAACATGGTGGGTCAATAGTCGATTGTGAGTACAAGAACCATGAGAGGGAAGATCGCCATCGCAATCTCATGTTCGACTACTTCGTTGAAAGGCCACATTTTAATACTATGGACTTTCGCAGGTGGTTCCGAATGCGGAAAAAGTTGTTTTACCGCATCTTGAATAATGTTGTCAACCACGAGCCATACTTTCGCCAAAAAAAGACGAGCTCGGCCGACAAGGGCTATCCCCTGAGCAAAAGTTAATCGATGTCTTTCATATGCACGCATGGGGATGCTCGGCTGACGCGACCGACGAGTACTGTAGATTGGGTGAAAACACAGCTCTTGAATCACTCCGTAAGTTTTGTTGCGCTGTTAAAGCCGTGTATGGCCAATGGTACCTCAGATCTCCAAATCCAGCTGACCTTTACAAGCTATTGCACAAGGCAAGTAGTCGAGGATTCCTAGGCATGTTAGGAAGTCTTGATTGCATGCACTGGGAATGGAAGAACTGCCCATCTTCTTGGGCAGGCCAGTTTATCGATCACAAAAAAAAAACCCATTGTTGTGCTAGAGGTCGTGGGCTCATATGACACATGGATATGGCATGCCTTTTTTGGAGCCGCTGGATCCAACAATGATATCAACATTTTAGCTCGTTCTTCATTGTTCAATGATGTGGTACATGGAGTGGCTCCTCATGTTGAATATATTGTCAATGGGGATCTACCCCCGTTGTGCTACTTTGGTGAAGACCACCCCTTCTCCTGATAACCCGAAGAAGAGGCTTTTTGCACAAATGCAAGAAGCGTACATGAAGGATGTTGAAAGAGCATTTGGAATACTACAGGCTCGATGGGCTATTGTTACAAAATTGAAATAAGAATCTGATCTAGAAAACACATACCTCACTAGATGAAAAATAGAGCTTCGCGTGAGAAGAAGGAAGATGAGAGAAAGGGTGTCGTCGTTGATGGAGCAAATAAGGAAGAGGAGAGAGAGCAGGTGTCGTCGTCGTTGATTGTGCGAAGAAGGAAAAAGAGAGAGAGAGAGAGAGAGAGAGAGAGAGGTTGAGATCTGGTTTTAAACAAAAGGGTAAAATTGTATTTTACCTTTATAATTTAGAACCCAAAATCCAAACAGAAATACTGTTTGTCTCAAATACCAAGCTTGTCCGTACAATCAGGCTAACCCGTGGCTCAAAACATCATATCAATCTTGGGCCAGGCCAATTTTACAATGTTAGTCCAAATACTTTCTGTTGGGAAGGGCATGGCCAATCACCGAACTGGATTCAATAATGTAAACTACAAACACACAAGCTGATGAAACCGATAGCAAAAGTGAGTGGTAAAATAGCAGTCACAAAGTTTCCCATGGTTCCGGGCCTTGCACGTATGTGGTGCAAGGATAACCTCCACTCAATCATGATGACATGTATAATTTTGCACAACATGATTGTGGAGGATGAGTACGAATATGTTGAAGAGGAATCTGATGATGA